GAAGTAATGGATTCCATTGTTGTACTGCTCTTACAGTTAGGAAATTTTTCCTGATATTCAGCCAAAATCTGGCTTCCAGTAAGTTCAGGCCTTTCCTACCTGCCTTGCACTCTGAGCTAATGCCTTGAATGTGCTTAGCAGGGTCATCTATTCCGGAATGCACCCCTTCAGATGCCGTTGGACTACAACACCCATCAGCCCCAGCCTACATAGTCAGTGTCGATGACTTCTAGGAATTCCACACTAGTGATATCTAGGGGCACTATATTTTGTCTGTTCTCAGGCTCAGGTGTGCTTCCCAGCACCCATCATCATCATCATCATCATCATCATCATCATCATCATCATCATCATCATCATCATCTCAATATTCCCAGAAGGCTTTGCACCACTCACCCGCGGCTCTTCGTCCTCAATGAGCTGCAATATGGTCTGGTGTCCCGCCAGCAGCTTCTCCTGGCGCCGCTTCTGAGCTTCCTCAAGCTTTGAGATCGAGGGAAGAAAATACACTGAGTGAGCAAATTCCCAGTGGAAGGGGATGATAATGGAAGAGCCTCCCAGTTACTGAGTGGGTGCATAGCATTATTTGGCTACCTAAGAGAGTTGCCTGCCGGTGCATTTATTTTAGGAAAATATACACAACATGACTGGGGTATCATGGGGGGGGGGGGGGATCAGTGCCAAGTCCTCACGCGGATATATTGAACACTGTACACATAGCATGGTCTCTGGCTCCCTCTACTGACCAGTTCTAATAAATACACCCCCAAAATACATATATAGTGGTGCCTCGCATCGCGATTGCTCCGTATAGCGACGAAATCGCTTTGCGATGGACTTTTTGCCATCGCAAAAGTGATCGCTTTGCGATGGTCCCTATGGGGGAAATTCGCTTTGTGATGATCGCAGGGAAGCTGTCATTGCAAAGCCCCCATTTTCAGCCAGCTGATTGGCGGTTTCAAAATGGCCGCTGGGTAAACAAAATGGCCACCCGCTGTTTTCAGGCACGGATATCTTGCTTTAGAGGCACCGAAAATGGCAGCGCTATGGAGGATCTTCGCTTAAAGGTGAGTTTTTAGCCCACAGGAACACATTAATCGCGTTTTAATGCGTTTCTACGGGCTTTTTATTTTCGCTTAGCGATGTTATCGCTTAGCAGCGATTATTTCTGCACAGATTAGCATCACTAAGCGAGGCACCACTGTATATGTATTTTAGAGGTTTTTTATTTAATATTTTCATACAGTGGATAAGTGAATCAGCAGATACTGATCACATGGATGAAAGGGTCCTACTGTATGCCTCCATACTATACTGATTCATTTTTGGCCCTGGGGCGTGGTTCTCCTTTCATCCCACAGATCTCTGTACATATTTGGGTCCCCCCATGTCCTGTGCTACATATCCTCTTGTGCATATATAGTATGAGCCCCATATCCATGGGGGATTGGTTCTAAGCCGTCCCACGGATGCTGAAAAGTGCAGATTATAGAAAATGCTATTATAATAACAAATGCAATACATAGCATGGTCTCTAGCTCCCTCTAGTGGTCAGTTCTGGTCTCTTTGTAATTCGAAATATGCGGTATTTTTCTGTGTATAAGGCACCCCATGTATAAGACGCTCCCCCATTTTCTAATCCAAAATTAAGAAATCAAAGTGGGGCTTAGCAAGTGTAAGGGGAAAGGGATCAAAGCGCTGCAGGATCGCTTTGATCCCTGCTTTCCCCTCCACTTGTTTTTGTTCTCTCCTCAGCTTACTCCCATGTATAAGACGACCCTCAATTTTTAGACTAATGATTTTAGACAAAAGTATAGTCTTATACACAGAAAAATACAGTATATTTTGCGGGTTCTCTTTTAATATTTTCAAACTGTAGATAAGTGAAATCAGCGGATACCGATCCCACGGATAAAGCAGTCGTAAGGTAGAAAGTCATTTCGCCTAAAAGAAAAGGGGAAAAAGGAATAGACCACTGGGAGCCCTCGTAGGAAGGAGGATGGAGAAACAGCACAGATACTCACCCTGCGAATGGAGTTGACCGATTCGGAGATATGCCGCCTGTTTATCTCTGTCAGCTCCCTGGCGGGGGAGAAAAAAAGAGTGTCAGGTGAGCAGACTGTCCGCTGCTCCCAAGAAATCTTCCCCTCTGCCCCACGCAGGGCTCCTCAGGTGTAGGACGGTGACCAGAGGTTGATCCTCTCCTGTCGGCCGCTGGGGAGGAGCTGTCTGATAGAATGGGGTGGGGGCACAGCAGTCCCCTCCTGATAGGATTGGCCTGCCCTTCCCTGCATCCTTCCCTATTGGTTACATTGTCTGGGGCTGATAGGAATTGTAGTCTAAGCAGAGGCAGAAAATACCCCCATGATTCAGAATAAAGTGACTTCTGGGCGTTAAGCTTTAACAAGATTCGTTTCTGCCTTGCAAAAGGAAGGGAAACCACATATAAAAAGGAGGAAACCACAAATCAGGGTTTCATCTTAAAGAAGGAGGTCCAGTGGAGTCACATCAGGACCGCTACGAGGGCCGGATTCAGCTCTACGACCCGAGGGTCTCCCGCCCCACTTCACAACTCGAGTGGGCCACCCTCAGCAGCCCTGGAGGTCATGTGTGTGGGGTCACTCCCGTCGGCCCTTGACAGCCAAGCCAGGAGTGAGGAACGCTGGGAGTTGCGGTCCAGCAACCCTCTGAAAGGGGCCCCCGAGCAACGGCTTACGAGGACGTAACAGAACCATGACTTATGCTGCATTAAAGGAGGTCTCTGCACATGCGCCGGCCTATTCGCTGATAGCTGCGCATGCGCAAAGACCGTAGGACCGGCTCCGGGAAGGTGGAGGAGGTGGCCGGACCAGTTAAGGAGGCAATGGGGGGAGGGACAGTGGGAAGCGGGTGGAGAGCACCTGTTTTTGCCAAAGCGCCACAAAGCCCCAAGCGGGAAAAAAAAAGTTTGGCACACTGTTTCGTTTCAGCACCCCAGTTTGCACAAACCGAACCACAAACCCGCCTCGGGTTCACGAAGAGCTCTTTTCGGTGCATGGTTCGGTTTGTGCCCATCTGTATAACGGACTGGCGACTAACGAGAACAACGGTGCCCGAGGCGACGCTGTAGCAATCGGCAGGCCACGTGGCCCCCGGGCGGCTCGCATTCCGAAGGAGACGTAAAGCACACGGCGTTTGGCATCGTGTCAAACGGGGTGCGCTTCACAGCCCCTTTCTGAAATCCCACAAAGAAGCATTTAAACCCCCTTTCGCCCCACACTCTTCTCCTGCCCTCACCCTTCCCTGCGCTAATATTTTAATGTTTTTATTTATAATTTTTTTAAAAAAAACTTTGTTTATTTTTTGGTATTGGGGAGAAACGTGTGTCAAAAATGTGCCCCAAAGAAAGGAAATGGATGCCGTCGCCCCCCCTTCGGCCCCCCACTTGGGACTCACACATCCTTCTTGTTCCTCTCCCGTGATTTGGCTTCCGAGATGCTGTTGTGTCGCTTCCGATCCAGGATTTTCTGGAGTTCTTTCTTCTCTCTAAAGTGGCCGGGAAAAGAGGGAGGAGAGGGACAACCTCAGGCCAAGGCATATGCTTTGCATGCAGAAAAGGACAGGGGTTCGGAGGGCCAGCAGGCTCCTTGATCCGTAGCGTCCCTCCCAGCTCTGCCGTTTTAAGATGATGATGATGATGATCTTCTTCTTCCATGCTGACTGCCCTTACTGCGGCTACTGGAGTGAGGTGGGTCAGGACGCATCCAGTTCTGTTTGGCTCCCTCCTCACCACTCCGACGCGAAACCTTCCTCTCTTCCCTCTCTTTCTCCCTTTTGTGTACTTATATACCGCTGACTCTACTCTAAGCGGTTTACAATAAAACAACCGCCCAACAGACCGGCACTAAACACCCCTAAATGAGCACGTACAATAAATGAAAGACCCCCAAATGATGGCAGAACCAAGGACCACAAGAAAGAATTCACTTAAGGGACGAGGTCCTTCCGCGCTTCTCGGGACAAAGCCATTTCCAGCATCCTTTGAAAGGACAGGAGGGAGGAGGCCTGGCGTACTTCTTCTGGGTACCCCTTCCCCGAGTTTGGGGACTCGGAGTGCCACGGGAAGAGTCACTGAATGTGTAAAGGACGGACATGTCGCTTCGTCCGCTGTCCCACTTCATGCTTGTACTCACTTCTCGTTTATTTCCTTCAGTTTCTTCAGCTGGACAGCCTGGCATTCCCGGGCAATCTCTCTCAAGCGCTGCTGAGCCTGGCAGGGGATCAAGCAAATCAGAAGGGGCAATATTACTCAAAAGGAAGGGCACGAGAGAAAGAAACTCATTGGGTTCCATAGTTCCACTTTTTTTTTTTACCTGCCAAGATGGCTCGCGGAGTGAAATACAGTAGGACACACACACACACCCCGTATCCGCGAGGATCGGTTCCAAGACTTCCCCCCATAGATGGTGAAAAATGCCTACGTATTATAGCGAAGGCAATTTTAATATTGAACACCCTACATAATATGGTCTCTGACTCGCTCTACTGGCCAGTTCTGATAACTTCATCTTTAGAAATACATATTCCTAGGATTGTGCTTTTAATATTTTCAGGTTGTGGATAAGCAAATCAGCAGCTACTGATCAGACCATGGATAAGTGACTCAGCAAATACTGATCAGATCATGGATAAGTGACTCAGCAGCTACTGATCAGACCACGGATAAGTGACTCAGCAGCTACTGATCAGACCATGGATAAATGACTCAGCAAATACTGATCAGACCATGGATTAGTGACTCAGCAGCTACTGATCAGACCACGGATAAGTGACTCAGCAGATACTGATCAGACCATGGATAAGTGACTCAGCAAATACTGATCAGATCATGGATAAGTGACTCAGCAGATACTGATCAGACCATGGATAAATGACTCAGCAGATACTGATCAGACCACGGATAATCGATTCAACAGATACTGATCAGACCATGGATAAGTGACTCAGCAGATACTGATCAGACCATGGATAAGTGACTCAGCAGATACTGATCAGACCATGGATAAGTGACTCAGCAGATACTGATCAGACCATGGATAAGTGACTCAGCAAATACTGATCAGATCATGGATAAGTGACTCAGCAGATACTGATCAGACCATGGATAAGTGACTCAGCAGATACTGATCAGACCATGGATAAGTGACTCAGCAGATACTGATCAGACCAGGGATAAGTGACTCAGCAAATACTGATCAGACCACGGATAAGCGACTGAGCAGATACTGATCCTGACGGCCATAAGACCTATTCTTCTTAAGCCCCTCCCCTTTATGACACCTGGTGCAGGTGCTCCCGCTTTTTGTCCCTCTCCAGCTGGTGCTGAGTCTCCCGCAGCTGCAGCAGCCCCTGCATTTGCCATTCTTGCAGATCCACCTTCTGGTGCAATCCATCTTGTTCCTGCCCTGGTCGCACGGTTTCTGAAGACCTATGGAGGAGGACACACCAAGAGAGACAGAGTCACCCCGGAAAGGAGGCACTAAGGACCATTGAGGAAGGTGGGGAGATCTGGGTCTTGGGCTAATCTCACCTCCAGGAAAATTCTACCTCTAAAACAGATCTTTCTGTCTCGTTAGCCTGTTTAAAGTCAGCTATTCATTTGCTGTTGATTTGCTCACATCCGTAAGTAACTGAACATTTTTTATTCCTTCTCTTACAAATGTGTCAGAAAGGGGTGGACTATCTGGGGAATTTGCAGCTATTCTCCTCTGTGAGTTTATGTGCTTCCGCTTGTGCAGCACAAGTCAATTTAAGGATAAGTTCAAAAGTTTGCGACAAAAACATTCACATCAGTGTGCTTGACTCAGTCAAGAAAACAGAGAAGGTTTGGATGATTTTTCTGAAAATTCAGCTATGGCCCCCTCTCTCTCCACAGGTCCAAATCCTGGGGATGTGTGGGTAGAAAAATATGAAAGAGAGGACAGAAAATGGCAAAGACGTCTTCAGTACATGGCTCTCTGTGTTTACAATCTTCATTTCCCATATTAAAGTCTCTGGAATAAAAACATCAGTGATATACAGTAGGACTCCCATAGCAGTGGGGGATTGGTTTCAAGCCACCCTGTGGATGTTGAAAATCACGGGATAATAGCAAACAATAGACATGGCATAGTCAAAGGAAAAATAGAGGGGGGAAAAAGGCATTTTGCCATATCTTACCAGAACTGGCCACTAGAGGGGGTCAGAGACCATTCTCCAACATCAAAAATGCATGGCACATTCTCTGGCTCCCTCTAATGGCCAGGTCAGAGACCATTCTCCAACATCAAGAATACATACATAGCACATTCTCTGGCTCCCTCTAATGGCCAGTTATAGTACATACATTGTGAAAATATTTTTAGTTTTTTTAAAATATATTTTTAATATTTTCAGACTGCATTGTGAAAATATTTCTAGTTTTTAAAAAAAATGTATTTTTAATATTTTCAGACTGCAGATAAGTAAAAAACGCAGATACTGATCTCGTAGCATGGGGGTCCTACTGTGTTTTGCCTTAATGCTTTTAGATCATAAAATGTTTATTTGTAATTAATTTCTACTGAAGTCTTCCAGCACTGTATGGATGTGATGGATCACAATCACCATCATCCCCCCCCAGCCAGCACGGCGAACAAACAAAGCTCACCCATCCCGGCTACGGAGTCGGATCCTGTTCACCAACGTGAACTGGGCGTTCTGCCTCTTGTTCAAGGTGCCTATTTTCTTCATGTGTTTCCTCCTTAGCTCCTTCAGTTCGCGATACTGTTTCTCCAGCAGCTTCACAAAAGCTTTCTGCTGCCGCAGCTCCTCCACCGACTGAGGGGAAACCTCTGGAAAGGCAAGACACATGCAAAAATTTACACGGGGGAACCCAAATCGTGTCCACCAAAGAGGATAAAAACAGAGAAGGAGAAGTATCTGTGCAGTCAGATTTCACCCACCAATTTTCCCTTTCCAGTCATGAGGACTAGAGCCTTAGTTAAAACCAACACAAAAAGTATTCCCAGGATTTAAAACCAACCTGGAAAGACAAAAATTATTGCCAGCAGAAGGGCAATGGCTTTGAACCCAACACAAGCCCGGAGCAAGGGCAGCTTTTTAAAATTTTCAACCATGTTTAGCCCCCCTCTTAAGCCATCTCCCCACAGAGCCTAGCAGTTAGCGACACCAACGCCCGTCTGTCTTACCTGCCAAGATGCTGGCGATTAGATCATCTCTCTGCCCTACAGGGTTCAAAGAGGAGGAGCAGAGAAAGGAGAGAGGGGGGAGAAAAACAGAGAATAATCAGAACAAAATGGGAACCGGAACATTTAAGCACCTTTTGTTCCGAAATCAGGTGACTAAGCAAAACAATGGGGGGGGGAAGTGGCGGCGTCCCCCCCAAAATGCTGGAATCGCCTTTCTTCCCTATTCTGTATCTCCAGGGCCGGCTGGAGGCGTCCTCAGGCCAGCTCTTGACATTGGTCTTTCCTGGGGCATCTTGGTGGGAACGAGCTTTGACAAATGGGGGGGCAGGGGGAGAGAAAGGGAAGCAAAGGAGGCCTGCCACTGGGCTGTAGGGGGCGCTATGGCCCCAAAAGGGAAGAATAAAGGGAGAAACGCATTCTGCTCAATTTACCCATATTTTTCCGTGTATAAGACACCCCTATGTATAAAGACACACCACCCCCACACTTTTCTAACCCAAAATTAAGAAATCTAAGTGGGGCTCTAACCACCTAGAGTGGACCGGTAGTCCAGATAGGCGGGGTATAAATCAAATAAACAACAACAACAACAGTTAAGAGGTTTTTCTTGATATTCAGCCTAAATCTGGCTTCCTTTAACTTGAACTCATGGTTGCGTGTCCTGAAGTCTGGGATGATCAAGTCCAGATCTTGTCCCTCCTCTGTAGGACAGCCTTTCAAGGATTTAAAAACTGCTCTCCTATCTCCTCTCAGTCTTCTTTTCTCAAGGCTAAACATGCCCGGATCTTTCAGTCTTTCCTCCTAGGGCTTGGTTTCCAGCCTCCTGATCATCCTTGTGGCCTTCCTCTGAAATTGTTCCAGTCTGTCAGCATCCTTGTCTTCCAGAACGGGATACAGTACTCCAGACGAGGCCTAACCAGTGCTGAATAGAGGAGAACTAATACCTCATGGGGTCTGGAGACTATACTTCCGTTAATGGAGCGTAAAATAAGATTTACCTTTTTTGCAGCCACATTGCCTTGTTGGCTCATATTCAGCTTTTGATCTGTAGTATTAATTATGTACAGTGGTGCCTCGCTTAACGAGCGCACCATTTAACGACAAACCCGCATAGCGATGCGGTTTTTGCGATCGCTAATGCGATCGCATTGCAATGTTTAGATAGGCTAAACATCGCATTGCGATGATCGGTAAGCATTTCGCTTACCGACCTTCGCATTGTGATGTTTAGAAAATAGCTGAAGTCTTAAGTTAAAGGGCGTAGATCTCAGGAGAGAATTGTCACTAATTAAGAAGCTGATATTTGCATTCCCCATTCATCACACACGAGTGTGTAACTTCACACAAAAGGAATTAAAGCCTAGGTATCTTAATTGGTGGTAATCAGACACTATTTATTTATTTGTTTCACTGACACTGTTGTACGTACGTAACAAGATTCTGGCCACAGCTGTTGAAAAGTAACTACCTGAGTTACTCCATAAGCTGGCTGTCAAATAACAAACGATCAAGGCACCGATCACCACAAAACAATATTTTAGGGACTTGTGAATATAGAGGATGAAAGCTCCTCTCAAAATGCTTCTCAAAATATCCTTGAAATGCCCTTTAAAACTAACTTTTAAAAAGTAACCGCACAGCGCGACTCAATTGTACCAGTAAAGTAACTTTGCTCGCACTTGCTCCACTTTTGAAATGTAACTTTGTTACACCCCTCATTCCTAAAAAGCTGGGTTGTTGTTAAAGATCCTGATGCAACGTGTAATGTCGGATCCTCTGGTGCTGCCCAAACCAAGCCTAACACGGCTCTTTTTGACTTTTAGATCTTACCTTGACTGGGGACGATGCTGGGGCTCCGGGTGGGCGACAGCAGGCAAGGCGGTGGCTTGTGAGCCTCCTCGGCAGGACTGGCGTTTGTACTGCAGGAGCTTCGGGACGGTGACTCCCAGGACTTCTCTGCATTTTCCTGCCGGCACAGTTAGGGAGGGTTTTTAAGAGAGAGAGAGAGAGATAGTTTGGATTATTATCACCGTCTGATGCTCTTCCCGAGACCCAGTTTTCCCTCTCACTGCTGGTCCCCCTCCCATCCTTTCCGGTTCCTCTCCCGATTCCAGTCACCCTCACCTCACTTTCCCCAATGAGTGCTGCAAGCTGCTTGGCTCGCTGGTCCAACAGGCTGACGTGTTTAATGGGGTTTATCAGAGCCTCGGCATAATCTGAAGGAGAAAAAGGAGAAAAGAGGGAAGGAAAATCAAGTTTAACCTTCAAAGCAAAGACAGAGAGAGAGGGAGACTGAGATTAAAACAGGGACCCAACAGGTATTTTTGGACTGTAATTTCCACAAATCCATGCTAAATCTTCTGGGAGTCGAAGTTTCAAATATCCGGAGAAGCAAAGATTTCCCATCCTGGGTGTTACTGGACATCAGATGCAGGAGACCCAGGTTCAAATCTTCCACTCAGTTAACCCAGCGCACCGTGCGATCTTTGGACAGGCCCGTGCCGTCTCTTGAACACACCTCCCTGGGCGGCTGTGACACCGCGTTCCAGAAACAGCAGGGAGAACCCTCTCGGCCGCCCTGCCTTCCTCAGGAGAAAAGGGGACAGGCTAATCGATACCAATAATAACCACCAAGGAAATAAATAAACAATAAAAACCCCGCCGGCCCTTTCCAGATGGGCGAGGAAGGATGGGAGTTGTAGTCCACAAACATCCGGGAACTCAGTCCTTTCACTCCTCAGCTACATCCTTAGGAGGAAATCATGCGAACCACCACAAACAAACCAAGCAGGTAATTACTTTGATGATCGTCAGGAATATAGTCGTAGGCTTCTGTGTAGACCAGGAGCGCAGGGAGGCAGAGCGGCTGGTTGCATTCACTTCGCAAACAAATGTAGTGGTACCCTGTAGAGAGAAGGAGAAAAAAAACCACACACACACAAATAATTGTTAATCCAGGTTGAAAATTCAGGGAAGGCTGCACAGAGGGACGTTTTAAAATAGGCCGTAAGGGTGCCAAAACCTTGGAAAAGTATTTCTGAAAAGCATTTTGTTCCCTTGATTTGCTAAAGCACTGGAGAAAGGAATATTTGCTCGCTGTGGATTATACCAATCAAAAGGCGATCGGGGATACTCCTTGCTATTTCTTCTTACTTGTGGGAAGAAATTTATTCACTTACTTAACTTGGGTTCACCCCGTCGTTCCCCTTAAAAAAAAGGACCCCGCCAGGCGGCTTACATCATGAAAAACACACCGTAAAAAGCTCAAAACAGTAAATGATTCAATATGGGCCAAGAACTGGCAACACGATATTAAAAAGCATGATCAAAAACAGTTTCAGAAGCAACGACATATAAACCATCCTGTTCATTTTCTCCTGGACAGCCTGTCACTCAGGAAAAGCCTGCCCAAAGAGAAAGGTCTTGGCCTGCTTGCAGAGAAGGATAGTCTGGCCTCCAGTGGGAGGGAGTTCCAGAGTCTGGGAGCAGCCACCGAGAAGGCCCCTCTTCTGTATCTCCACTGAACGCACCCATGAGGGTGGAGGGACCAATGAAACCCTCTTTAATCTCCAGGGTTAATTTTTAGGATTCCTATGAGGATGGCATAACATTTTAAACTTACTCTTTTAAAAAAACCCCTCTAAAATGTCCTTTAAGAGTGAGTTTTAAAAGCAGCCTGGAAACATTACAACAATAAATTAACTTTACTCTCACTCATCACATTTGCTTGCTTAAACGTTCATTTCTGGAAAAGGTAATTTGTTATAGTAACTACATTGCTTGTAACTTGTGGCTTCTATGGTTTGTCCCCTGACAACCTTATATTAGGAGATGTAAGTGAAGCCTCTTAAGCCCACACCCCTCTGGTTCAATGCATTGTTGAGCCTGCCGTCAGACCTGCCGCCCAAAGGTAGGGCTGGCCCTGATGGCAAGGGAGCTTTTTTGCTTTGTATGCAGAAGGTCCTAGCTCACACCTCCCCACTTAAAGAGGATTGGGTTGTTTATTTATTACTTCAGCCTGCAGAATCCTATAATAATGGAGTTGGAAGGGGCCTCTAAGGCCATCCGGTCCAACCTCCTGCTTGAGGCAGGAACCCGAATCAAAGCGGATCGGACGGGGGGGTCCCATTTTCTCTTGAAGGCTTCCAGCGCTACAGCGCTCACCCCCTCCCGAGGTCACGGGTTCCCTTGTCATACTGCTCTAGTAGTTAGGAAGTTTTTCCTGTATAGTGCACACACTCTCTCGGTGGATTTACAATCTAGTAGTTAGGAAGTGCACACACTCTCTCGGTGGATTTACAACATGTTAAAAACATATACAAGTACAGTGGTGCCTCGCTTAACCATATACAAGTACAGTAGTGCCTCGCTTAACAGCGATAATCCGTTCCAGAAAAATCGCGGTTAAGCGAAAACATCGTAAAGCGAAAACAAAAACCATTGATACACGTTGAAACCCCTTCAATGCATTCCAATTGGGTCAAAACTCACCATCCAGTGAAGATCCTCCATAGGGCAGCCGTTTTTGCTGCCTGTCTTGCAAGGAATCCGTCCCAGAAAACAGCGGGGGAGCCATTTTGTTTACCCGGCGGCCATTTTGAAACCGCCAATCAGCTGTTTTAAAATCGTCGTTTTGCGAAGAGTCGGTTCCCGAAGCAGAGAACCGATCATCGCAAAGCGAAAAAAACCATTTAGACCATCGTTTTGCGATTGCAATTGCGATCGCAGATAGTCGTAATGCGGTTTCATCACAATGTGGGGCAATCGTAAAGCGAGGCACCACTGTACCCAACAATTAATACATCAATAAATAAAACTCTGTCCCTAGCTAAAACCTGAACAAAATTACACAGATTTGCACATCTCAAGTAATTAATAAAAGACAAGTTTTAATGGCATGTTTTTTACTTAAAAAGAGAGGGAAGGCACCTGATAAGCCTCTACTGGTTTGTTCTAAAATTTATTTCACAACTGAAAAAGCCCGGTTCCTCGTGTTGACGTTTTCGGCCTCCGTCGGTGTCACAATTTTTAACATCATAGACTGTGAGGAGCAGATGGAACGGGTAGATGTTTATGGAGAGAGAAGTTCTGAGAAATATCAAGGTCCTCAGCAGTTACGGGCTTTATAGGGCATGACAAGAAACTAGAATTTGGCACTGACAGGGAGCCAATGAGGGTGTGCCCAGATGGAGGACGTGTGTTCATATCTGCTGGTACCTGTTATCAGTCCGGCCACTGCATTTTGGTGAATTTTCTGTACTAACTCCAAGGGCAGCCCTACATATAGAGTGTTACAGTAGTCTATTTTAGAGATTACCAACACATAAACCACTGTTGTTAGGCATCTTTATTCCAAGTGGGGTGTGTGTTAGGGGACAAGATCTTTTGCCCTGGTGTGTAACCCAGTAGCGAGCAAAGTATTGGATTTGATGGACAAACCATCTGATCTGTTATAAGGTTAATTCCTGTGTTCATAAACATTATCTTTTACCGGGCAGGATGACTTGACACACACATACGAAGACGGAAGCAGAGAGAAAAAAAGATGGTAAACAGTGGGGCTCAAAGGCCATAAAAAGCCAGTCGTGGGTCTGCGACACATTTCTTTCCAAAGCGCAAAGGTACACAAGATAAGAAGCACATTTCCTGCGATCAATCATTGCAGCACAGCAAGAAATGTTGTATTTATCTCAAATGCTGTTCTTATCGTGCATGCGTTGGGCTTTCTATGGAAACATCACGGGCCCCCGACGGCATTTCAGCCCTGCTGGTGAAGCTTTCTGCATCCTCCACGCTCTCTCCAATCTCTGCTGTTTGAACACAGCGCCTCTGCCTTCTGGTGACGCAATCTTTAGCGGCAAACGGGTGCTCTCCAGATGTTGCCCGAGAGAGAGAGAGCAGCTGCCGGTCCATGTTGACCATCCTGGTCTGGCTGAACCAACAGTCTGATCCATTGTGAAGCCACTTTCGATGTTCCTTTGGCTGAAATCCTGTTGCACCATTACACAAAACCGTACTACATTTTACACACAAACTGCCGTAGGTTAAGAAATCTCCGTAGGCATTACCCATTGCACACCGAGTCGCTCAACTTGATATGCAGTAGATAATATTATATTATTATAATGTCTACGGACATTGCTTAATGTAATTTGCTTTCAAAAGGTACGTCGTTTGCTTATCTGTGCATCAGGATTTCAGCTTGTGCGTTGAGGCACAAAGGAGGGGTAGCCGACTGAGATCCAGATAATCAACGATTTGCAGTCATTTTTCTATTCTGGACTTAGATAATGCTGCGATAAATCCTTTACTGTGTATGTTAGGGCCGGGCAATCACAGATCCTGCTCAACGACAACCCTCATCATCCTACCTGGTGCTGCTGGCCTACAATTCCATTGGCCCTAGCCAGGACACCCAACGATAAGAGATAGGGCGAGTTTTTGTCCAGAAAAGATTAATGATGGTGATCATGTTCCACCAAGTCAATTTAGACTTAGGATGATCCTTTTCAGGGTTTTCTAGGTAGAGAATACTCAGAAGTGGTTGACCCTCCCCTTCTTCTGGAGGTGTTTCGGGACTGTGCAGCTTGCCCAAGGCTACACAGGCTGGCTCTTTTAAGATACACAGTGAGGAATTGAACTCCCAACCTCTAGTTCCACAGCCAGAATTTAACCCATTGAGCTATTCAGCCAGCTATTCAATCAAGTACTTTCGGATCAGTTTTGAGTTATGGTAACCCTTTTCCAAGGTTTTCCAGGAAGAGAACACACATAAGTGCTTTACCCTTCCCTTCCTCTAGGGGGAGCCCTGGGACTGTGCAGCTTGCCCAAGGTCACCCAGGCTGGCTCCTCTCCCCGAGGCACAGTGGAGGGAATCGAATTCCAAACCTCTCTCTCTGCAGTGAGATACTTACACCATTGAGCTATCCAGCCGGCTGAGAACCGATCAGGAGGGCTATAGCTTCCCACTGCTGATGTTATCCTACGGATCACCTATCCCCAAACTCTCAGTCGTTTTAGAATCCAACTCCCATCAGCTGCAGGCAGGGATGATGGGACCCAGAGTCAAACGACATCTGACGGGAAAGAGGCTTTCTCCACTCAGAAATACCAAATTTAAAAAAGGGACTTTCTAGGAAAGTGGATGTAGGCATGAAGAAGATAAACAAGGTTGCTAGAAAAAGTTTCTTCAAAAGGAAAACTGTTTTCGGAAAAATAGTTGATGGTTTTTATCAGTCTTGCTTTTCTAGTTAGGATGAGTTTGCCTCTTTTTTTCTGCTCTAAGTCCAGGGTTATTGAATTTTATTTTTTTGTTTACGGTGTGATGTTGTAAGCTGTCCAGAGTAGTAGCCTAGGCATTAGATGGGTGGGTGGGTAAAAACACAAGTAATAAATAAACCAGCCTGGAACTAAATGATTACTCCTGGCAGTTTTGGAGGTTGGGATAAAGTCATCTCCACACCTTCCAGTTGAGGAAAATTAAGTCTCGGAGAGAGGCAGAGCTTGGCTGTCGCTTGCGGACAAGAACGGCCGTTCCCAGGATGGATTGCGAATCAGAGCACAACAGGCGGAAGGCACCCTCCGAACCAGGCAGGGCAGGCCTGCCCTTGCGGGTGGAAGACCGGAGATACACCGGGCACAACTCACCTGAGCGGATGGCAGAGACGGGCAGGATCCGGTGGCCTACAAACTTCCCCCCTTCTTCAAAGACAGCGATCCGCAGCGAAGCCAGCGTAGGAAGCACCACCTGGAAGGAGATCAAGACAAAGCAGTCATGACGGTGGAATGGGGGGAAGACCAAGGCGGGAAGACCCCCCCAGCCCTCCTCCACGGCCCCCTCGTTCAAAATGAGGAACCGTGGGGCCCAAACCCCACTGCATTTCTTTCTACGCCAGTGTAACGCAATCTGTGTTAAGACTCCGAGGCAGATGGCAGCCACCGAAGGAGTTCTCAAGCGGACATTTTGGCCCGGCAGGACGCAGCCTTTACTAATTTCTTAACCGGTGGCTGTTTAATGCCAAGGTTTACACCAACGGTGTTAGGCTGGCAGAGGACACGAGGATCCATTTCGGCCACGAAGCTGGAGGAGGCGTTGAAGGTCATCTAGTCCGGACAACCCCTTAGACGGCGGCTGCCCGGCTTAATTCTTCATGTCATCTGCTATTTCGTTCCGTATCGCATTGAAAGGAAAAGATGACCCGAACCCAGGTCAGCCCTCCTGCTTTACTGGTAAACACGTAATAATCACCCTCTGGTGTGGCTTCTCTATTCTATACATCAATACGGTTGCTTCACCCCCAGTTTAATTTGTGGTGCTTCCCACAAAAGTCACAGGAACAGTAAAGGTACACCGCAACCGGTTCGGAAGCCCCAGTTACTCCTCGTTGGTCTGTGTTGTAAAGTCGCTTCTGACTTAGGGTGATCCTATGAAATGTCCTCAACGGCCCTGCTCAGCTCCTGTAAACTCAAAGACGTGGCTTCGTTTAGAGAGTCAATCCATCTTGTATTGAGTCTTCCTCTTTTCCTACTGCCTGCCACTTTTCCCAGGGTGGTGGTGTTTTCTAGAGAATCCGGCCTTCTCAGGAACCAGTCCCTCCCTCTCCATCTGACTCACTTTCCATGTGCTGAAGGACACTCTTATTTTGGAAAAAACTCGGAACCCTGACTAAAAATTTAAACCCAAGAGTTAACTTTACTGCGGGTTTTCATCCATCTTGAGAGCTGAGGAACTGCTTTTAAAGTCGTCTCCGTGCGCCAAGGCCCACCTTGTGGAAGACAAACGGTTCCTCGTCCCACACAGGGTTGAAGGAGTTTCCCTGTGACGTCCGCGTCCGGAATTTGCGCTTGGTGTCCACCGGGAGCCCGAACATGTCCACCTCGACGTAGATCCCCACTCGTTTGTCCGACAAAAATTGCCCGGAGATTATCTGGAGACGAGAAGGACAGCCGTCAAAATGGAAAGGAAGGCTTCCTAGGATCAGCACAAAAGAGGCCTGAAATTCAGCGTCGTCTCTTAACAATTGTTAATTTGTTTTCATGGCATGATTGCCAATCACTGTTATATTTTTGTCAGCCACAGTTTGGAAAATGGCTACGGAGGGCAGGACAATGAGCAGCACAGATTTATGGGGCACCTCAAAGATGATCAAGTCCTAGTTAGCTGATGCTCTCATGGATCACAACCAGCTTCTTCTGTTACATGATTGCCAATCACTGTTATATTTTTATTTGTCAGCCACGGTTTGGAAAATGGCTACGGAGGGCAGGACAATGAGCAGCACAGATTTACGGGGCACCTCAAAGATGATCAGGTCCTAGTCAGCTGATGCTCTCATGGATCACAACCAGCTTCTTCTGTTCCAAAATGAAGAATGAAGAAGTCCCCGACAGGACTCCCTCTATCTAACTGCCCTCTGATTTTGGGATCAAGAGTCCAACCTCCCCTCGTGCCCTCAACCACAGATAATACACAAACACAGTTTTGGACACCCCTGAAAACTCATGCTGTAACAAATTTGTTAAGCTTCAAGGTGCTACAGGACGCTTCATCACGGATTTTGCAAGAGACCGTCCCGTGCTAAATTCATTTTAAAGTGGCTGTTGAAAAGCATAGGAGTAATCCAAGACATACCCTATGATATCACCCTCTCTACTCACAATAACAATCATCATCATCATCATATCAGAATTGTAGAACCGGACAGGACGTTATGGATCATTGAGCCCGGCCCCTATCAAGGAAGCCCAGTGGGGGAATCGAACTCCCAACCAAGCTGTGTCTGATTGACGAAGCTAAGCCATCCTCATCACCCCATTCGAACCTTCACTTTGACGGTATTGGCCACGATGCCGTCGATAATGTCTTCGGTGAAGGGGTCAAAAAGCTTGTCCTGGCGACGCATGAACTCCGGCTTGAGCAAGTAGCCGCTCCGACGGTTGTACTCAAATATGCCCAGGTTGAGCTGCATCGGCAAGTCTGGGGGGAGGAGAAGTCCAAGAAGCACCTGACTGGACAGTTCTCGGGGGCAAGAACAAGCTAGCATTGTCTCCTCCTCTTCCCTCTCAACTCGTAAGGAGAGCAAACAACTCTCCTTACAAAGCCCACGGGAACCGAAATGGATCACACCACCCCTGGCCAACCCAAAAACACAGCCCAGACAACACCGCGGAAAACCCGCTCTCTTTGTTTGGGACTGAAAAAAAAGGGAGGATGAAATCCTGTCGCTTTTTTGCACCAGTGGAAAGCAGACAGCATAACATTAATGTTCTTCTAGCCGGCCATTAACAAGTCCCCGCTAGGATTCTCGAGTAAGCCTCAAGTCAGCCTGTGGTGACACTTTCATTGCCGGCTAGAAGTGGCAATGAAGTCAGCCGGTGGTGACACTTTCATTGCCGGCTAGAAGTGAGTGAATGTTCCGCCGTTTGCCCTCCTCACATGTATAAAAGCAACAGGATTTTAGCCTATGAGGGGAAAATCCCAGAAATGAAAGGACTGTTCTCTCTTTTTTTTTAATATACAAAAAGGTAACAGAAGTTGTTAGTCCTCAGTGTTGGTGAAGAACGGGAGGAAAACGAAAGGCACGCTCACCAAGAGACTGGAAGTTGAGTGCCACCATCTGGCAGCCGGCATTCCAGAAGAGCTGAGGCATGTAGTTTGAGGAATCCACCCGGGTCCCTTTGGGGTATATTCGGCTAAGTTGTTTCTTGTTATATCTGGGCAAGGAGTGCTTGTCAAGGCAATAAGGATGATAGGGATGCTGAAAAGATGTGGGAAATCCACCCCGCAACACCTGGTTAGGGGCCCATCAATTTTTTGCTTAAAAACAGCTCTCTCTTTCCCCTAAAACGAATGAACAATAAGTTCACTATTTCCTGAGCCAATGTTTGAATTCTTCTAATACCAGGGCACAGTTTCTCATATTTGGTTGAAATCCTTTCCCCATGGCACAACCTGATCTGGACCCACAAAGAAAAAAGTCTGTGTCATCCTTCACGCCAAGGGGAAGGACCTTCTTTCATCTTAAGTACAGAATTTGGTTTCAGACAAGTTTCTGAGGGGGCCCTTTCTGGGGCTGATACGACTGGATGAAAAAAAAACACCGGGGATAAAACATACTTGCGTATTTTCAAAATCCTCATCCTAAGTCACTCAGCCGGAGGTGAGCTGATTTGTCTTTTTGGACTACAACTCCCAGAATGCCTTGGGAAAATAAGTAAAACGTGACTTAAGATGGAGAGCCGCTCAGGGTTAAAGTGGGCTGCCTGGAGCATTCTGGGAGTTGTAGTCTAAGAACACCTACGGAGAGCCGCTCAGGGTCAAAGTGGGCTGCCTGGAGAATTCTGGGAGTTGTAGTCTAAGAACACCTAGGGAATCAGTACATCTATATTCCTTATAAACCGGGATGACCACAAATTGGCACAATACTCAGTGTGAGGGAAGAACCCCTGTTCTAATAGCTTAGCTGCATCCTCCAGTACATCAATATTCCTTATAAACCGGGATGCCCACAAATTGGCACAATACTCAGTGTGAGGAAAGACAAATCCAGACAGAAGCGTCATTGCTACTTCTCCCGCAGGTTTGGATCGACCCCCTAACCTTTCCTCTTCCGTAATCTCCCCTTTTAGGCTCTGCATTCTGCCATTCCCTAAAAAAACCCCCATCAAGAATATCAGCTCCAGGGACAGGGGGCAGCAGAAACTGTGGGCAAAAGGATGCACCTTAGGACTGCCGAAGAGATTTGGCTGGCTGGTGAACGGGAGCCAGGTTTTACTCTGAATTGCTGCAGTCCGGTTCGGACGAAAGCCCGAAACGGATTCACGGCCTCGGCAAGGATCACCATTTGTTCACTTCGGCCATGACAGCTTCTCTCCTGCCAGCCCCACCTTCCCCACAGCGACAACGCCAAGCCAGGATTTATTTATTTATTTATTGTATGTATACCCCGCCTATCTGGTCAAACGACCATTCTAGGATACTCAACAAACTCCATGGGGCTGTTGGTTAGCTGCTCCAAACCTTTTGTCTCCACAAACGACGACATTTCGTAAGATTTGTTGCGTTCTTAGGAGAGAAAGGAAGGAAATTAGAAGATGGTGGTACTCCTGCTTAAACATGACTGCTTGTGCCTTTCAGTCAGATGTGATCCGTGTTGCTGTTTCCCTTTGAAACAACAGATCTTAAGAGCGTGACATGACTTAGGGCAGAGGGTAGCTCGGTGGCAGAGGAATCCCTTTAAATCCAGGAGGTCTTAGTTTTCATCATCTCCACTTAAAAAAAAAAGATCTAGTTTCCAATGACAGGAAAACCATTTCTCTACAGAGCGCCTACAACAGGGCCCATCATTCAAAGGCAGGTAACACCCAAGACAGACAGACAAACAGTCTAATAGAGTTCAAGACACATTTTTTCCTTTTTATTTCAAAACCCCAAATAATCCAGGGGGGCTTGCCAAAGCTGAGAACCTGCGTAATTCCACATGTTGTTTAACTACAACTCCCATCATCCATGGCCACAGACGGGTCTTGATGGGGAATGGAGTCCAGCAACATCTGGAGAACTACCAGTTCTGCACCTTCTATTGTTATTTATAGTCATTTTTTATTGATTAATAATATTACACAGCCATTGCAGCTTTCTGGATTGATGCTCATATCCAGAAGGCGGATCAAAAAATCTTGGAAACGTTGTGGGTTTTTTTGTTCTCCAAAATGCAATGTGAGTAAAGATTTCCTGACACAGCGAGTGTGTGGAGACAACAGTTTTACATATCTATTGACGCATATAGCATGATAATGTACTACTCTTCGCCATTTGGATGATAACAAAAACAACAACAATAATAAGAAATTAAGCAATTTTTTTAAAGAGCCAAAATTAAATTTTTGACATTATCTCACAGCAGCATCTCAAAATCTATTCGAGTTTCAAGGAGAGAGAATGATTCTCCAGATATACCCGCATTTTTCCGTGTATAAGACTAAGCATTTTTTTTAGAAGAGGCAAAAATGAACTTTTTTACATTATCTCACAGCAGCACATCAAAATCTATTAGAGTTTCAAGGAGAGAGAACGATTCTCCAGATATACCTGCATTTTTCTGTGTATAAGACGCCCCCCACTTTTCTAACCCAAATCTAAGTGGGGCTTAGCCAGTGCAGGGGGAAAGGGATCAAAGCGCTGCAGGATCGCTTTGATCCCTGCTTTCCCCTCCACTTCTTTTTTGTTTTTTCCTCAGCTTACTTCCTCAGTGTATAAGACGATCCTCAATTTTTATTCTAAAGATTTTAGACAAAAGTATAGTCTTCTACACGGAAAAATACGGTAGTCGAAGACCGCGCTGGGATATAGATATAACCTCAAATTTTGCCACCCCCTCTCTAGCACCAGGATACACCATCTGCTCTCAGCTAACGGGACTAACACCCCACCCCTCTCTCCACCCTCTCTCTCCTTCTGTTTCCTCCCCCCCACCGCCTCACTCACTGCTGGCCACCTCGAAAGATTTGAACTTGACCGGTTCGATGTAGTTTACCAGCGTGGACATCTCTTCCGTGGCATTGACTTCACTGCTTGCCGTACCCTGCATGCAAAATGGAGGCACAAGGCGAAAGGATGCTAAATCTGTTGTGTCCGAGGCCAAAAAGCAGGCAAGGAAAAAATGAAATGACTCAAAAGGCAGACTCTTCTCTTTATTAAGTGCATTGACAGAGATCATGGGCAGGAAGCAAGAATATATATACTGTATATATTTAAATTTACAACAAAATTTCAGTTTGTTCTTCACATTCATATCCCGTCTTCCTCCTACCTTTCTATCCTCTCAACCACCACCCTGCGAGGTAGGCCAGGTGGAGAAAGTGCAAGAAGCTTGAGGCCACCCAAGTATGTTTTATGACTCGACAGGGACTAGAACTTTGATCTCCCAATTCCCAGTCCAACACTACCCATCTCCTTGACTCCTTTTACCCTCCGAAGACCCCTTTGAGGTAGGACAGGGCGATCGGTTCTGTGACTGAAGTACTGGTGTTAAGCATATCAAGTCACAGTATTTACAGAGGAGTTGACTCATCACAAATTCAAGGGACCTCCTCTAGTTTCAACTTAGAGGAGCAACAGGGCCTTAGCTTATAAATAGAAAGCTGCCTGTGGGTTTCTCTCTCTCTTTCATAAACACTCTTTCTCAGCTTTCACATTTATTGATCGTTCCGTTCACTGTTATGAAATGATGTTTTTAAAATTGTGCATTTAAATTTAATCTGGTCTTTAAGGCTACCGCAGCTGGCTACATTGAGAGTTTAAGTCTCTGGCGGGAGAGCCACAGGCTGGGAATTCGATTCCCCCCACTGTACCTCCAGAGAGAAGAGCCAGCCTGGGTAGCCATGGGCAAGCTGTGCAGCCCCACAGCGCCCCTAGAGGAAGGGAAGGGTAAAGCACCCCTGAGTGTTCTCTTCCTAGAATCAGAATTGATGTGGCAGCACATGATTTTAAGGCTGCTGGCCAAAAGAAGAGCGGAAATACTTTAATAAACATTCAATGATATGCCCTCAAATCTGTTTGACACAAACCCTGCCCCATTCTTGCGCAGACAAGGAGAGCTTGCTATGGAAGTAATCTCTCTATGCTGCTCCCCAAGCGGTATAGTCCTATCCAGGCCCACTAAGTAGGCCAGCTTCGGGGGAATCTCCATGCGGGAAACACAAGATGTGATGATATGATGGGAAGAAGAGGAAATAGCATGGCATTTTAATTTTCAGGATTCTGCCCTCTGATCTTTTATCATGTCAACTCTGGGGAGGGGGGCCCAAGGCCTGCTTTAAACACCAGGCGTGTGTCCCCAGGGGAAAAATAAGGGTGCAAGCGAAAATCCGTGGAGACCCACCTCATCCGTTGTCGGTTTCTTAGGGTCTTGCTGCTCCTCCTCCTCTTCGCTTTCGGCATCACGGTCTGGACAAAGGGAAGAAAAGGGACGGAGTGAGAAAACTCAGGCTGAACGGATGGAGAGAGCTTAGCGCTGCTGCAAAAGTGGAACTGAGCTACAACCCCTAGGATTCTTGGGGGAAAGGAAAGAGAAACAGTTAAATCTCTATAAAAAGCCCTGGTTTGGACTTTGCCAATCAAGGGTGGTGACTTGTGGTCCTCCAGATAGGCTGACTAGGGATGATGGGGACTGTAGTCCAAAACATCTGGATGGCTATACATTGCCTGCAAAGACACGAGCGCTTTACTGAGGTCTCAGCTGTCATCTCCCTGTTCTTGCCATGTGCCAATTTTAGCATGAAGATCCAAGCATGTGTTAAATCACGATTTGCTGCGATGGCCAACCTGGGACATTCTGACTTAAGGAAGAGCCAAGAAAAATAAGCCAGGATGTCATCGAAAGTGTGCTGGTGGGGGAGATTGCTCAGTCATAATAATAATAATAATTTATTGTCATTGTAAGTATATACACATACAACGAAATTCACAGACACCCAGAGACCAGACACATGCACACACATAAAATTCCCAAACACTCCCCAGAGCCAAGAAAAATAAGCCAGGATGTCATTTGGTGGGGGAGATTGCTCAGTCCCTATATTGCTTTCTAGCCTCCTATAAAAACTGAAACAGGCGCCAAGTGTACACACTGGCTCTGTCATAGGTGACAGTACAGAATTTAATTGGAAGTGTAGGTGTTCATTACAAAAATTCCCATAGCCAGCCTACTCCACCCCCTCAGGTGAATCCAAAACACAGGCAGCCAGATTGATCCATGTCCACAAAGGAATTCTGCCAGTTTTTACTTTCAGTAGGAGGAGGACTTTTGTAAAGCTAATGGCTCTTAATGGTTCCTCGAGTACTCTGTGTCACAACCAGGGCTGCTATATGTTTCTCACAGCTAGGGTGACTCCCCTCCCTTTCTGGAGCTCCCTATCAACCCTCCTCAACCCCACAGAAACTCACCGATGGATTTGCGGGGTTCAACTAGCTTCCCCATCCTGTCCGAGGTCTTCTCCTCCCCGTTGGTCATGACCGGCGAAAGGACCTCAGGCTGATCTGCCAAAGGGGGAACCATCAGTAAGAGCATGGGGCAGATATGAAAGGGAGAGGGAGAAGAAGCAAAGAAAAGCAGTCAGGGAACGTCAGAACGAATAGATTTTCGCTCACGGAAACGCAAGCGAGGAGTTTTCCCCCAAAAGGGAGAAAACGTTGAAGACAAATATCTTGACCTTCCGAGATTTTGCAGTCCGTGAGAACACAAGAAAAGGGTTCTTTCATTTCATCATCTCATCGGTTTTTCTCTGCTTGTCAAACCCCCTTGGCTCTATGTATCAAATCTCTATCAAATCTGGATAGCTAAGGGGTTTAAATCTCTAGCTGTGGGGCCAGAGGTTGGGAGTTCAAATCCCCCCCCCGCTGGGTGTCCTCGACGGGCTGGACTGGATGATCCATAGGGTCTTTTCCAGCTCTGCCGTTCTTGGCTCTATGTATCCCAGGCTTCTCTATCAAATCTGGATAGCTCAGGGGCTTAAATCTCTGGCTGTGGGGCCAGAGGTTGGGAGTTCAAATCCTCCCCCCGCTGGGTGTCCTCGACGGGCTGGACTGGATGATCCATAAGGTCTTTTCCAGCTCTGCCGTTTTCAGATTATTATAATTAAATCACCAAACAGGCAGAAAATTCAGCCACTCCACAATGTCAGTTTTCACGCTTTTCTTTTTAAAAAAAACACCACCCACCCACGTTTCTAGCTCTTATCACTAAAAATAAAATGGCCACAGAAAAGATGAGACACATCCTAGCTCATCCTATAGAATCACGGAAACTTCTTATTAATTTGCTCTGTTGAAACAGAGAGCTACGACATACTGTATTTTTTGCACCATAAGACTCACTTTTTTCCCACAAAACAGGGGGGTGGAAAATCTGTGCATCTTATGGAGCGAAGAAAACAGATTATATTTTCCTGTTTTCTTCTCCTAAAAAATCGGTGCGTCTTATGGAAAGGTGCGTCTTATGGAGCGAAAAATACGGTATTTACCCATCATACTGTCTCCCCTACAGAGAATCTCTAGGGATTTCAAATAAAGGAATCTATTTTTCATGCCGCTTTACGCTTTCTAATCAGAGAGACTGGGGATTTACTACTTCCAGAGGGTGTTCTACTTATGACCCCCAAGGGCGAGACTCTGTTGAATCACCACAAGCATAACTGATATTACAATTTAGATTTTTACTCTACCAGTCCCTCCCAAAGGTCGCCTACATGCCCTGCCGGCTTTCTCCTCAAAGCTACCCTGCGAGGTAGGCCTAAATCTATTTCCAGGCCTCATGGCTGGCCAAAATGCAGGATAATGAAAAAAGAAGAAGAAAAAAAGGGTTGGGAGAAGGTAATGTCGTTTTTATCGGCCTTACATCAAGTACGATCAAGTTGCTGACTGAGTTACCGTATTTTTCTGTGTATAAGACGCCCCCATATATAAGACACCCCCACTTTTCTAACTCAGAATTAAGAAATCTAAGTGGGGCTTAGCAAATGTAGGGTGAAAGGGATCAAAGTGCTGCAGGATCGCTTTGATCCCTGCTTTCTCCCTTTGTGCTAAGCCCCGCAGGGCTTACCAAAAGAAGGGGGAAAGCAATCCCACGACTGCGCAATCGTTTTGATCCCTTTTCCCGTTATACAGCCACGGGATTGCTTTGATCCTTTCCCGCTCCTTCTGCTAAGCCCAATGGGACTTAGTAAGCAGAGGGGAAAGCAGGGATCAAAGCAGCACTTTGATCCCTGCTTTCCTTTTGCTAAGGCTTAGCAAGTGGAGGGGAAAACAGGGATCAAAGCCCTGCAGGATCGCTTTGATCCCTGCTTTCTCCCTTTGTGCTAAGCCCCGCAGGGCTTACCAAAAGAAGGGGGAAAGCAATCCCACGACTGCGCAATCGTTTTGATCCCTTTTCCCGTTATACAACCACGGGATTGCTTTGATCCTTTCCCCCTCCTTCTGCTAAGACCAATGGGACTTAGTAAGCAGAGGGGAAAGCAGGGATCAAAGCAGCACTTTGATCCCTGCTTTCCTTTTGCTAAGGCTTAGGAAGTGGAGGGGAAAACAGGGATCAAAGCCCTGCAGGATCGCTTTGATCCCTGCTTTCCCCTCCACTTGTTTTTGTTCTCTCCTCAGCTCACTTCCGTGTATAAGACGATCTGCTAAGACCAATGGGACTTAGTAAGCAGAGGGGAAAGCAGGGATCAAAGCAGCACTTTGATCCCTGCTTTCCTTTTGCTAAGGCTTAGGAAGTGGAGGGGAAAACAGGGATCAAAGCCCTGCAGGATCGCTTTGATCCCTGCTTTCCCCTCCACTTGTTTTTGTTCTCTCCTCAGCTCACTTCCGTGTATAAGACGATCCTCAATTTTTAGTCTAAAGATTTTAGACAAAAGTATAGTCGTACACATGGAAAAATACGGTAGCTATTAAACTGTTCCAGGACCCCTCTTTGGACAGCAAGAGAAAGCGTTTTTCAAGGCAAAGAGTGTCTTAGTGTCAAGGGTCAAACCTGGTGCTGAGAAGCCCGGCTCGCCGGCCCCAGAGGAATCGCTGTAAGAGCTGGGCGTCTGCTCTAGAACCCGCTTCCGGATGCTGCCCTCAGATCCCTTACTGTGCGTGCGCCGCTTCTTGTTTTTCACCAGGATCCGGCGCAGCAACTCCTGAGGGCTTGGCAAAGCCATTCCAGGCTGGAGCTGCAAGAAGGGGAAGGAGAGGCGTTCAGTAAGGTGAGCCAGCCAAAACGAGATCAAAAAGCAAAGAAAAAGAAAAACACCAAAGTCTTCATTTAAATGTGGTAGGTGGAGAGATACTGATATTGCTGGGACTGGATAGCATACCGTATTTTTCCATGTATAAGACACCCCTATGCATAAAACACCCCCCCCCCACTTTTCTAACCCCAAATTAAGAAATCTAAGTTGGGCTTAGCAAGTGTAGGGGAAAAGGGATCAAAGCTATCCTGTGGCTGCATGAGCGTTTTGATCCCTTTCCCCCTTATATAGCCATGGGATTGCTTTGAGCCTTTCCCCCTCCTTTTGCTAAGCCCCATGGGACTTAGCAAGCAGAGAGGAAAGCAAGGATCAAAGCCGTCCTGTAGCACTTTGATCCCTGCTTTCCTTTTGCTAAGGCTTAGTAAGTGGAGGGGAAAACAGGGATCAAAGCCCTGCAGGATCACTTTGATCCCTGCTTTCCCCTCCACTTGTTTTTGTTCTCTCCTCAGCTTACTTCCATGTATAAGACGACCCTCGGTTTTTAGTCTAAAGATTTTAGACAAAAGTATAGTCTTATACATGGAAAAATATGGTAATTGGCTTGGCTTCTCCCTACTTTCTTCTCACACAACAGCCCTGCCAGGTCTGGGAGAATGGCAGAGTGCATGTGATTGGGCTGCAATGAACGCCCTGGCTCATTAGGGACTAGAAACTTATCTCCCAGTCACAGTCCAAGAATCTAACCCCGATAGATCCCTCTGGCTTTCCAAACCACTGGAAATCAGTCCATCCAGCCAACGTACAGAGCAATAACCCTTTGGTTCTCAAAAATGTTTTGGATTATAATTCCCATCATCCATTACCACTGGCCATGCTGAATGGGGGTCTGATGGTTCTCTGCTCATCCCTGTTGTCCCAAATCATACACAGCTGAATGTGTGAGCGATAGAGCTTGGAAATAACACGTACTGAAAACGGTTGCTTTCTCGTTAAATGTGAAGAATGCATCTATTTGTCCAATTTTTAAAGTAACGTTGAACTGTTAAAATTACTTTCCAAACATGACTCAGTTGACTCTTGATAAAGCGAAAGTAACGGCTTTAATGCTAGCATGTTAGATCGATTGTGTTATTTATAAGCTTTGATATCAAGATCTGGTAAGTCAGAACTGCATTACTGCCACGCTCACTGATGCTTGTTGCAAACCTTTAACATGTTTTTCTATGCCCCTCCAAAACTCACTGGATATTTTTCCAACGGATCGATAAGGAGGGCCTCTCCAAAAATATTCCTGCAATACTCCGCCATCTTCGCTTGCTGCTTGGCCCTGGGGAAATAAGAGAAGAGGCCATTACCTGCGAGGCAGGCTTCTCCTGTGCCTCAGTTTCCCTTCCGAAGGAGCTACTCACGAGTCAACGTGATTCTCAAATGAGAGGATAATGGGGAAGGGCGAAGTCTTAAAGGCACTTTCAGCTATGGCTTCGATTACTTCCTAGAAAAGAAGGAAGCAGAAACGAGGATATTAGGGGAAGGAGAGTAGTTTTTGCGGCAAAGGCCAGCCCTAGGAGGAAGGAGATTAAAACCATAGTGGCCGGTGGAGAAGATTTTGGACCACGATGGCAACCTAGTGGAAAAGGACGGCACCCCACAACAGAAGCTGTCAGATGAGAGAATGAGAGCTGATCATTTTACAAGATACTTTTACAGTGGTGCCTTGCTTGACGATGTTAATTCGTTTCAGCGAAATCGTAGACAGAAATCGTCGTCAAACGAAATTAAAAAAAAACCACTGAAATGCATTAAAAACCGGTTAATGCGTTCCAATGGCCGAAATACCTAATCGTCCAGCAAAGATCCTCCATAGGGCGGTCATTTTCCGGTGCCTGTAGAGCGAAAAATCGGTTCAACCGGGGGGGGGGGGGGGGCATTTTGCACAGCAGCGGCCATTTTGAAACCTGACGATCAGCTGTTGGAAAATTGTCGTAAAACGAAAAACCAGTTCCCGAAGCAGGGGAAACCCCATTTTTTTGCTAAGCAAAAAAGCTCCATTCAAACATCGTTTTGCGATCGCAAAAGCGATCGCAAAAACATTGTCGTGAAGCAGATTCGTCGTTAAATGGGGTAATCGTTAAGCGGGGCATCACTGTACATCTTGTTTTTTTCTCAGGTCAGCTCAAGGCATACAGAGCTGGCCTCCCGCAACGAGACGCACACAGATCCTGCCATGCAGAGCAGGCTGATTTTTCCAAAACAACCCACTGAGTTTCACAGCTCTGCGGGGGACACAATGCGAGATCTATAATTCTAAACTGTGCAGTGCTCAGGTAGGTAGGTAGGTAGGTAGGTAGGTAGGTAGGTAGGTAGGTAGGTAGGTAGGTAGGTAGGTAGGTAGGTAGGTAGGTAGGTAGGTAGGTAGGTAGGTAGGTAGGAAGGAAGG